AAAGAGCTACTAGTTACTAACATTCCTAATACTTTATCATAAGAGAAAATAATGTATATTTTTCTATGACTATGTTATTTTGTAGTTTTGGTGTGGCACTGTGGGTTAATGTGCTGGACTGGAAGATTGGTGGTTCAGGTTTACCAGCTGCTCCTCAGAAACCCTACTCAGGGTCACTATGGGTCGGAATCAAGTCAACGACATTTAACAATAACAACAATGTCACTTTACTGATTCTATAGTTATTTGGTGTTTCATCTATAAATTGGTTATTATACTGTGATCATCAACAAAATTTTTAAACTTTAAAGTTTATTACCATAATAACTAGCTAATCATATTTTTCCCTTCCAAAAACTTACTGACAACAAAAATATCAGCATTCGGTGCCTTCTTTTCTCTACCTCATCTTTATAAGTGATACTGTGATACTTAGATGAATAGCTACAAATACAATTATTACCAAAGTATATCCTGAACTTTATAAATTGTGAAAATTCTTTAACGCTACAAATTGTAAGAAGAAAAAGAAAATAAGCTGGAGACTTCCTTGATTGACCAGTTTTAAATAAATTGCTTTCTAGAGTCAAAAAGCAAAACAGCAGTAACATTTTATTTATATTCAACCTTGCATCCAAGAACATATAATCTATAGGAGTGAATATTACCTCAATTTTACCACCAGAGCATAGAATTACAGAGACTGAACTAAAGTGAACTCAAGCGCTTAGCTAATCTAGCGTCCATCCCCAAGAATGACTGCATTTTAACAATCCAAAAGATAAGTCCATCTTCTCTATTTCTCAAAATCGCCAGGGAGGATGTTACAACTTGTTTTAGCAATTGGCTCCGGTGTGTAATATCCCTTGTCTAACTCACAATCCAAACCTGCAGATAAGGAGGAAATAAAACCTGGGTTTCCCAGAGTCTCAGTAAATGTTCTTATCCAGTTGTGTTTATAAAACAATTATAAAAATAGGTAGAGAAATAAGCTGATTATTTTTATAACAGGAATTTCAAATATTTAATCAACTATTCTCTTGTTTCAAGCAATATGCAATTTGAAAATAGTCTAGAAAAACAAAACTAATTTACATCTATCTTGATTGCATAATTGCTTCACATTTAAAACACAAATATTTTGTAACTATTGTTGTAGTTGTTAAGTGTCATCAAGTTGGTTCCAACTCATAGTGACCCTTGATAGGGTTTCCAAGGAACAGCTGGTAGGCTTGAACCACCAACCTTGTAGTTAGGAGTCCAATTCTTATCCTGCAGAGTCACAATAAGATTCCTTTTTATAACTGTTAGATGTATATGCAGCGCTGTAGGATAAACATTGGATCTCAAGGTTAGTTTAAACTGAAATGGCAGCAGTTCAAACTTAACAGCTACTCCTAGGAAACCCTATACAGGGTCACTATGAGTCAGAACAGACTTGACGGCACTTAACAACAACAAAAGTAAGAATAGCAAACATTTGCTAGGACTTTCTGGGCAAAAAATTGCTATCCCTGCTTTTTTGATGAAGAGATTGAAGCTCAGAGAAGCTAAATTGCCCATGATCTCATAGCTAGTGAATGGTAAAGCAGGACTCAAACCTAGAAGTTTGGTTTTGTTTTGCTGCCTCATTACTACATCTTGAATAAATTTAACTATCAGTATTTTGATGAGACTTCTTTCTGATTGGCACAAAGTCTTCCTCTGTTTAAAAAAAAAAAAGTTTCTTTATTTTCAAATTCCTATTAGTTTCTCCCTAATTTTAGTATCAAAGATATAGGAAGTAGAAGTATTCTTTAAAAAGAACATATTATATAACAAGAAATACTTTTAAATTTCTTTGTAACAGATTGCTTGATTATTACATGACTTTTTGCAAGTCAGTATAGTTTTTTATATGTAAGAATTTTGTAAAACTATTTTTTTTTTTTTTAACTTTGCTTATTCTTTTAAGAAGTGGGGATGTTTTTAGGTTTTCCTGATACTAATCTAAATGGAAGTGGGCAGATTTGAGATTATTGTTGTTGTTAAGCATCATCAACCCTGTATAGGGTTTCCAAGGAGTAGTTAGTGAGTTTGAACTGCCAACCTTTTGGTTTAAACTGGCCTTGAGTGGTCCAATGCATGATCCTGCAGTGCCACACCAGGACTCTTAGGTTAGACTAGCTTAATGCTAAGTATTTTATAAAATACTGTAACAAACTAGCATGTTTAGCTCCACATGGACACAACTTTTCACTAGGTAAATTGCCAGCTATATTAGCCAAGTGAATTCCAGATATATCACCACTGTGCTGTGGACATTTGTGTTCTTAGTACAATAAGCATACTTCTGAACAGCTGAAGTTTGAGTGTTATACAATGCCTCCATATAATTTCACAGTATATTGACTGACATGAAAACACCACACATCTAAAGTCACTGCATTTTAAAAAGCTGTAAGAAGTCCTGATGGGGCTCTGTAGGATAAACGCTGGACTGCTAACCACAAGGTTGCTGGTTCAGACCCTTAGAAACCCCATTTGCTGAGTTGGAACTGATCCAACAGCACATAACAACAACATAAGAAGTTTTTAATTTAATTCAAACTTAAATATTTACCACAAAATTACCTTTTCCACTGTTTCCTCTCCCACTGAAATCTCACACCCATCTTGTCCCATGCCATTCTTAAAAAACAGAATTCGGATTGAGATCTTCTCTGTAAGTTTCTTCATTCTAGTAGAAAGGACAGGCTTGGTTTTCTGCCTTTTGACATCAGTAGGAAGCATCAGCCCATTCATTGTCCAAGTTACTTTCTTCATTAACAACAGATGGTCTAGAAGATAATTTTTTTTTAAGTCAAGTGAATATTTGGCTTCAAAATCAAAAATGGACACATTCTGCTTCCCCTCCCCCTCTTAGCTATATCATCTACACTGGCCAGTCTCCATTTAGATGCTGGTTTTCTGAAATGCTACCACCAGCTTCCCACTAACCGTGACATAAGCTATAGCAAGCTGTCTGCACTGATAGCCTGCATAAATCATCATTTCTGAAGGGAACAGATGTTCCCGGTATGAAAGAGTAATACCACAATTTAATCCTAATTAAAATTCACCTTAGCATGCCTCTATCAATGATCAGAAGCACTAGCTCCTCACCTATCTAAAGGATCCAATGTCCTTTGCTTACTATAAAGCAAGATGATTCCTGAACTTTTGTGTTCTTTGGGGTTGGGGAAACACTGTCTTCTTTTTAATAAGATTTGTTATCCATATCATCTTAAAGATGATGACCTCCAAATAGTAATCTTATACTATAATTCTCCTCTGACTAGACTGAAGGTGTCCTTCTAGCGTATCTTTCATGAAAGATTCAAACTACTTCGCTAAAAATAAAAAACGGGTTTTCATTAACAGATTACTTTGACCCATACACTTTCGAAGATATGTTTAGGAATTTAAGTTTCAAAACTCTTACTAATATTAATGGGACTGCAACTAAATTATTATGCATGACTTTGAAAATGTAAGGGTAAGAACAGGAGTGTGGCATAGTGCATACTAAGTTACTGTCAGCAATTCTGTCTTTCCAAAGGATTTCATTTCATAAATAAATAATTTACAACAAGATATTTATTTTATTTGAGCATTAAATTTATTTTAGATGATATATTCTTTTCACATAAATTACCAAAATATAATTCCTCACTCATTTTACTTGCATTTATCCTAATGAGCAAAACATAATTTTATGAACACATAAATAAAAATAGCAACATTTATTTGTCTAAATTTCCATATAACCAGTCTTAGCACTTACCTTGAAAGAAGCATTGCCTCTTTGACCTGTTAATAGTATTTTATAAGAAAGCTGCTCACACTGATATATGAAATACAAGCAAATAAATACCAGAACAACATTAAATATTCAAAAACTCACACATACTCTTTTTCCTTTCTTCATTCTCTCTCTCTCACACACATATAAACATGTAAACAGGTGGACAGAAATAGAAACAGAACTTGAGGAATAAATTAAAAACCAAAAGCTCTTAAGAATAGAGATATGATTAAACCTTAAAGGGAAAAAATATTTAAACAGAAATAAATTTACTATATTTTGTCATTTTGTAATCCAAAATTGATAGAAATTATAATCAGAAAAATGAGTGCGTTAGTTAACAAATTCTTGTTTGACAGGAGTTTAACCGCAATCTGGATGGCCCCTAGATGCTTTGAATATGAGAAAGCATGTAAAGTTTACTTTCAACATACCTAGGTTTGAATCCCAGCCTTTCCACTTAGTGACCCTGCAGGAGTAATACTTCCCAATCTCAGGTCATTGCAGTGGTTGCTAGTTGCTATCAAGTCAATTCTGATACAGAGAACTTTTTCATAGAGGGTTTGCAGGCATCTAGTCCTTAGAAGGAGTCCTGATGTGGCGCTGTGGGTTAATGCACTGGACTGTAAGGTCAGTTTGAACCATAAGGTCAGTGGTTCAAGCTTACCAGCCGCTCCTTGAAAACCTTATACAGTGTCGGTATGAGTTGGAAGTGACTCAGTGGCACTTAACAGCAACAACAACAGTCCTTAGGACGCCTGATGTGGCACTGTAGGATCAATACTGGACTGCAAACCCAAGATTGGCAGTTCAAACCCACCATCTGCTCTTTGGAAACCCTATTCAAGGTTGCTATGAATCAGAACTGACTCAATGACATTTACCACCACAGCAAGAGAGGAGAGCAAGCAAGACTTCGCCTCTCATAGTATGGACATACTGTGAAGAGGGACCAGTCCCTGGAGAAGGACATCATGCTTGGAAAAGCAGAGACTCGGCATAAAAGAGGAAGGTTCCCATCAAGATGAATTGACACAGAGGTAGTAACAATGGGCTCGAACACAACAATTGTGAAAATGGCGCAGGACCAGGCAGTATTTCATTCTGTTGTGCAAAGGGTCAGAACCAACTTGACAGCACTTAACAACAGCAGTGGGCATAACTCCACCATGTTATAAGAATTACATATCTTGTATGTCAAACTACCCAACACATTGAAGTCACTTCATAATGTTAACTCCTTGAAATGTGATGGTTTAATATAGGGCTCCAGAGAATGTTAATCTGAAGGGAAAGTAATTCAGGAAGAGTGAAATGATGCACAAAGCTTTTGAGATGGCAATTTGCAAGACATGTTTAAGAAAGAAAACTAAGTTTGAACAGAAGAGGTAGGAAAGGGCTAGATTATGTTGGCCAGGATAGATGGCTGGAGTTTCATTCTGGATTTGATGGAAAGCTATTAAAAGGTTCTCAGGAGGTGCTAGATGAAGAAGAGACAGCGGTGGAGTGGAGCAGACACTGTTGGTATCCCATATAAACTCCTTTTAACAGACCAGTGCACTCAAACTCCAGTGAATCCTGGCTGCAAAAATCTCACTTTGTGCCCTTCTCCTACGAATTCCCCTGTGTTAAAGGTAGTCCTTCCTCCTACTTGAGGCACAGCCCAGAGCTAATGACTGATTGACTGAGGTACACAAAAAGCCAGTCTTTTTGCCTTAAGGAGAGGCAACTGGTAGGGGTCATTCATCACAGGTTGGGGATAAACTTCAACTGAATTCACAGCTTTGCAAAGCTCTTTCCTCTGATCTCTGAAACTTCCCTCGCTCCACATTTTACCACAATAAGTATCTTGCACAATAATCTTCATGTCAGGATCTGCTTTAAGGAACCTGACCTGAGGCAGAGTGAAAAAAGAAGATCTCTCAGCTTTTCTCTTCTCACAGTAGTATCTCTTAAAATAATCACCCATTTTCATTACTAAACAGACTCCAAGTACCCATTTCTCTTGGGTTGTAGCACACCATCAAGTCGATTCTTACTCACAGGGATGCTATAGAACAGAGCAGAACTGCCCAACTGGGTTTCCTACGCTGTAATCTTTCCTGCAGCAGATCGCCAGGTCTTTTCTTTTGAGGAGCCACTTGTAGATTCGAACTGCTGACCTTTCAATTAGCAACAAGCAGTTAACCACTGTGTCACCAGGGTTCTGAGAATCCCTTCATAGACTCCTATTATCTGCAAGGGCTTCCTAGTTGGATCTAATTCTTTGCGCCACATATGATATCCTATCCTCCAAATGAGACTGGGTTTTCCTAAAACATCAATTCTATCATTGCCCAAAGAAAGCTCTCGAAGCTAGCTCTTGCAGTCTTTTACCAGCCAGCCAGTCTGTCAGTTGGCTTGCAACAAATACTTATTGTGCCTGTCGTATATGTCAGTCTCTGTGCTAAAAAAAAAACATGAAAAATACATAGCCCCTTCCCTTAAACTTAGAACTAACAGAGAAGCTTTTGCCAGTCTACAGCCCCTCACTCCCATCATGTCAATTCTGACTCTGAGCATTCCTATGGAACAGAGTAGAACTACTGTATGGGGTCACCAGGGCTGTAAATCTTTATGAAAGCATATTATCACATCTTTCTCCTGTAGAGTGGACGATGGGTTCAAACTACCAACATTTCAGTTAACAGCCAAGTGTTTTAAACACTGTGCCACCAATACTTCTTACTGACCATCTAACCCCATCCAAACTTCCTGGTCTGATTCTACTCTAGTTTGGCCATTATCCCTTGAGTATTCCAGCTTAATTTTAAACTCCATCCTTTACCTTTTCAAACTTGAATCCTTCAAGAACCAGTTAGAGATCAGCCCTCAATGACCTGTCATTTCTCTGAACCCTTAGTGCACTTGCAGGCTATACACCCACCAATACATCCATTCATTAAAAATGTTTGAGAACCTACAACAGACACTGTGTGAGGTACTAAAGAAAGAGCATAGGCCACCTGAAATTATTATGAAAATCTTTTGTAAATATAGATCATATTTCTGCTTCCATACCTACACTTTGTTATTGCTATTGTAAGGTGCAATCAAGTCAGTTCTGACTTATAACAACCTTATGCACAACAGAGCGAAACACTGCCCATTCTTAAACCATCCTCACAATCATTGCTAAGCTTGAACCCCATTGTTGCCGCCACTGTGCCAATCCATCTCATTGAGAATCTTCCTCTTTTCTGCAGACCCTTAACTTTACCTAGCATGATATCCATCTATAGGAACTGGTTCCTCGTGCTATGTGTGAAGTATGAAAGACAAAGTGTCACCAACCTGGCCTTCAAGAGCGTTCTGGCTGTACTTCCTCAAACACAGATTCATTTGCTCTTCTAGCAGTCCATGGTAGTTTCAATATTCTCCTCCAACACCATAACTCAAAAGCCTCAATTATTCTTCAGTTTTCCTTATTCATTGTCCAACTTTCATATGCATATGAAGGTATTGAAAATACCATGGCTTGGGTCAGGTGCACCTTAGTCCTCAGAAGGACATCTTTGCTCTTGAACACTTTAAAGAGATCTTGTGCATCAGATTTTCCTAATGCAACAGGTCATTTGATTTCTTCACTGTTGCTTCCATGAGTTGATGGTAGATCCAAGCAACATGAAGTCTTTGACAACTCTTAATCTTTCCTCCATTGATCATGATGCTATTTATTGGTCCAGTGGTGAGGATTTTTGTTTTCTTTACATAAAGGTACAACCCATACTGAAGGCAGTGGTTTTTGATGTTCATCAGTAAATATTTTACCCTGCTAGTACTTAAAATACCAGTGGCACAACTTCCAGTGTCACAGCAACAAGCAAGTCACCACAGTACAACAAACTGATAGACAAGTGGATAAACCTTTAGAAAGTGAGAAAAAGTTCTGTATATTCTATTACATGGCTTCAAGATATAGAGTACTGTATTACACATAATGTTGTTGTTGTT